CTAGCGGCGCGCGTAGTCCTCCTGAAACGTTGCAGCAGTTTCACGGATGGAGGGCGGCTGATTTTTAACATGCCGCTCTCGCATTATCGTTGATGCGCCATGACCTTTAAATGGACCTCCTGCCTCTCCTTCCTCTTCCTCTTCCCCTTTCTCGCCCTCGTCCTCATCCTCCTCTTCCCTCCTCCTCTTCCTCCTCGTTCATCCTTCTCCGTCCGCGCCGTCTGTTTCTGATGCTTCATCTTCAAAAGACATTGTCGCTGTCCCGTCGCGCCCCGATCCACTTCGAAACCGCGTCGAACCAACACCGAACCCGTGTCGAATCCACGCTAAGTCCGTGCCGAATCCACATCGAGACCACGTCGTGCACAAAAGGTGACACCAGTTGGGGGGCACCGGCGATTTGCCTCGAAGGCGCCAAGACATGTTGCCTGGGCCCCCGAAGTCCGTGATTAGTTCGCAATGCCCCATCGTGGACCGCCTCTCGCAGGGCGGCCTTCTCATTTGTTATCTCATTGACGGCCCGGGGGCACGGCAAGGGCTTCAGAGGCAGCAGGTGGCAGAGAGCCTCTCGTCCTCGGGGTCGTCGTCGTGAGTTTGTTCTCGACGCGAAGGCCTCGGGGATACGTTCGGAGCCAAAATTTGGGAGCGCACGAAGTCGAACAACCCCCAGGAAACTCGAACCTCTATAATCATATAGGGTTCTCAGTCCAAGAAGTCCAAGAGGAGGAGGAACAACCACTCCGAATCCCGAGTCCTGGAGGATGGAACGACAATGACGAAGGCGGAGGACGAGAAGGACGAAACGAGGCGTCGAAAGGATGAAGGGGAGGACAATGAGGAAGACTGGAGCTGGCACCTCATCATCTGGGAACACCCGTGGGGATACACCCACACTTCCACTGGCGACATCATCGACAAACTGACGTCGACTCCGAAGTCTGACGCCCGGACGGGAATATCATCCAGATAGCGTTTGAACAACTGCACTGTTTTGTCTAAGAACAACCACATAGCATATGCTACAGCAGAAAGTTTTTAGCTCAACGTTGTCCTGCCTGAACCCAAGGTAATCGGCGGAAAATGTTCTGGCACGGAAAACGCGTCTCAAATCATCCACCCATTTGGTTTCCGAACTGTTGGCGCCCTTGTCATCATTGACATTGATGAGGTCGATCGGTTGGCGCCGCGTTAGGATCATGCGCCGAGCGATTGTCCACATATCGGGCGCCTTGACACTTGGGGTAGATCTAACTCGGACCAACTGAAAATCTCTCCCACGCTGCATTGACGAGTCCGCCATGGGAAAAACGATTGCATCCTTGACCGCCAGAGATCTCGTCTTCAAGGTCCCTGCCATATAGTAATAGCATGCCGTCCGACATCACCCTCCATCGGGGGACAGTGCATTTATTGATTGTGAGCTTCTGATCCGCCTCAACCTACCCCTTATAACGCATGCCACCAGGGCCAGCTGTAGTGCAAGACTGACCGCGTACATGATGGAATTGCGTAACATCCCTGAATCTTTCAGCCAGTTGCTCAACAGGAATGCCTTAATAATGTGCTTGGTTTTGCCCAGCGCAGCATGTCCAACCTGTGCACGGTCACCCTTCGCCCATCCAACCATCTGCTGGTGAATCTCTGCTGGGCTGAGCTGCAGCGCAACAATATCCGAGACAATGAATGATTCTTCCAATGATTTGTATTCTTCTGCGCCCATGTCAGCGGCAGGGCCGGAGTGTTGGGGCGCGGCCCGGAACTGATCAGAATTCCGACAAAGCACCCCTGGTGTCAATGCGATCATTCCGTTGCCGGCAGGCTGAGGCGCCGGCGCAGGAGGAGGAGGCGGTTCCAATCCCAACAACTGAAGCCGAAGTCGCAAGTATTTGACATTCCTCTGCGTTGCATCATGCGGCAAAAGGAGATCAGTCCACACTGTCTTTGCACATAAAACTGCATGTGGAGATGGCAATCGCAACGCTACTTAAAGAAATCTGTGGGGCCAATCGTCGATTCCCTTTTTACATGCAGACGTTGAGGTTACCGCATCTCCATTTATGTTGCACATCCTCGACACTTCCTGTCGCTGAACTCCCGCAGCGGTTGGGGACTTTCCAACGGAGAGACGGCCAGAATCTTAAACCGCAGAAGCTGCACAGGTGGGCGAATATTTTTCCACCGGCCATACTGCTGACGCATTGGCCCATCAGTTCTTGTCATATGTGTGACATCGCCTATGTATTTAACCACAGCTGCGGCGTGCACTCTGCTTCCCGCACGCACGCGTCCATCACGTTGGTGCAATGCTGTTCGCGCCAAAGGTATACTTGCAAGCTGATTCCATGTATATGCCGCTTGTGTTTGCCGCCATCCCTCCTAGAAAGAAGTGTGGATGCAATCCAACGAGATGTGCCCCCTCTATGAACTAAGACGGCTACGGAATGGATGTGCAATGCTCGCTATCAGTTGTTTTTTCTCATGCGTGGTTATGTTTTCTTATGGGATGCTTGTTGTAAACTGCAAAGCACATAGGTACTTATGTGTGGCCCCTGGTCCTTTTATATATGTATTTGATATGTTGAGTCACGCTTGATCTGCTGCAGTCGCGTAATACGATGGTTTGCTGCGATGCCCTTCAGCGGCCATGGCCCCTCCAAGCCCCCGGCGGCCCTGGAGGGGGCGATCAGCTGGAGACATGGAGAACTTTGAGAATGCCATAGATAATAGTGGTGCTTGAAAAACGAGGAACCCGAAGGGTGAATCGCTCATTCTTTCTATCGAATACATAATGAGGCAATGCTGCATGACTGGTGGATCCCTATATCTATTACGCCACGCGTGTCCGGCACTCCGGACTCCCGAGCGCTCTGCGACCCTTGGACATTTGGCTCGCCCGTTTCACCCCAGCAGCGCCCCCTGGCTTTCATCCTAAATTTGAAGTTATGATTCAAGGGCTGGTTCATGGAGGCTGATTGTTGTCTATGCGCGAATCTGCTATAGTCGGAGCTAGACCAGCCACGTGCGAGGGCTTATACAATGATTTTAATGCCTGATGCGCGGCTCCACGCCCGCCCCGGCAGGAACTACGAGTTACCGGCCCACGCGCCACAATGGACATTGGGCGCGATGGAAAGACTGGAAATCACAGCACGAGGCCTGCAAGGGTTTGACAAACAACTTTTGTGCAACTGGACGCGCGGGGGTCGCTGGTCTCGGAGACGGGGCCGCGTCGCTGCGCGGCGGCTGGCCCATCGAGCCTCATGCCCAGCGAGGTCGGGGCCGGCCCAAGCACAATCGATCGCGATGCCGTCGGCTGCCTCGAAGCAGCAGCGCATGCACTGGGCCGCGCCAGCCTGGCGCTGGCGGCTCCACCCCCACGTCGAAGTCGCCGAGGCAGATCCAGTCGACTCCCGGCGCCGCGATCGGGTCGAAGCAGCGTTGACGCGCGCTGAGCAGTTCCAAGTTCTCCTCGCCGAGGTCAGCCCCTGACGCCCGACGCGCGCTGATGATGGCGAGGCCGTTCCTGGCGCATCAATGCGGGCGGGCAGCGCGCGCCCGCCCGGGGCGCCGCGGCCGCGTCGCAGCGCGGCGCCGCGGCGAGTGAGACGTCAGTGCCAGGGCCGCGGCCCCGCCCGAGGCGCCGCCCCGATTGCCCGTGGCCGCCGCAGGGCCCGCGAGCCGCGACGCCGAGGTCGGCGGCGGACTTCTGCAGCTTCCCCAGTCTGGGCACGCAGCCGCGGCGCCCCTGGATCGCGAAAATCGGCTGTTCGAAATTGCTGGCGGCGCGCCCCCCGAGCGGCCCTGCTGGGGGGGCGTGAAACGTAGCGGTGAATCCTTTCACCTTCGCTCTTGTCTCGGCAATAATCCGCCGTCTCGCAGCCCTGCCCGGGGGGGCCCGGCGGCGGCTGCGTGGGCGAAGCTGCCTGGGCAGGGGGGCCCCCCGGCGGTCCTCGCGGCGCCCCTCGCAGCGGGGGGCCGTGGCTGCCATCTTCCCCGGCGCGGTCTCGATCTCGTCAGCGGAGGCGGCGCCCGCGTCCATCCTGGGCCGCTTCGCTCTCGGACGCTGCCCATCGCCGGCGGGCTTCGCCGCGGGCGCGGTAGCGGGCGGGGAGACTTCGGCGAGCTTCTCGAGCTTGGGGCCGGCCTCGATCTTCGCGGCCAGCTCCGCCCCCGCCCCAAGGGCCGCGAATAGCTCGCCCACCACCGCCACGCCCAGCGAAGCCGTGCCAGCAGCAGCAACAGCAGCACCAGCAACCCCAGCTGGTCGCCTGGATAGCCTTGCTTGCTTTCCTCCGCGTTCAACTGAGCTCCTACAGCTGGAGCTCGAGCTGGGCGATGACTGCGCCCTGCTCGGCCAGTCGCTTTTCGCTGGCCTCCAGCTCCTTCTGCACACGCTGTGTCTGCTCACGCTTGGGCACGACCTGCTTGGTCGTTTTCTCCATCTTACCCCTCTCGATGCCCAGCTTCGCCGAGAACTGTCGCAACTGGGTAAATAGAGGCTGGCGGGCCCGTCGCTTGTCCATGATGGTGCGGCGCTCCTCTGCCAGCTGCTTGGCACGGTCCTCCAAGCATTTCTTGTCTTTGACGGCAGCGTACACGGCCTCGGCGCTTCCAGCTGGATGGCGAACTCGGTGTCCTCGTCGTCGGATTTGTCGATGCCGTCGTCGTCGACAAGTTCCCACGACCGAAGTTGCTGCTGGTCGGCACATGCAGCCCCGGCGTTGCCATTGCCACCAGCGCCAGCAGCAGTAGTAGACTCCTGACTGCGGACGCGCTTGCGCAGCTTGGCCAAGCCCGCCTGGGGCATCGCCATCTCGGCTTGGTCTGCGCCTCCGCCGCCACCACCACGGGAGCGATCGACATGTGCGCTGGGTTTCTCGGGCGGCATGTGCGGAGGAATCACGACCCGTTGCGCATGCCGCTGCAAAGCCGCTGCAGTACATCTTCCAGCCCGAATTGACCCACGGCCCCCCTGACTCCTGAGTGCCGAACCGACAGAACCAGGCCTCGCGCCGCCATCCTCGCGGCGCCATGGTTCCCAGCCCACCCGAGGGTTCGCAAAGCCAGTGCTGGCGCTAGGTCGGGTACGTCCTCCTACAGGCGGCTTCTGGAAGACAAAGAAAACATACTCAACCATATCCAACACTGGTCGAAGAGAAAAAACGGGAAATCATTAGTTTAATACGCTTTGACTACTCTTGCATCTTCACCAGGTAGAAGGACATGGCCGACTAAACCCCTGCGTGAAAAAACCTTGAAGTGATGCTCCTGTGAAAGCTCACATGATGCCCCGCACAAGGTTCGCTGAAAACCACGGGGGACTTTGAGCCGAAGCCCTCGGCTGCGAATCGAAATCCAGCAACGGGGGGGGGGCAACAGTGGAGCTTGAGCCAAAATGACTTGACCCGAAATGGCAACGGAGGGGAGGCGGGAAGGAGGGAGGGAGGGAGGGACAGAGGGAGGGAGGGAGGATGAGGAAGAGGGGGAGCGAGGGAGGGAGGAGACACACCCGTGCCCAGCCCCGCAGAGGATCCTGGACAGGGCCGGCGCCCGCCGCAGAGGCGGCGGGCGCGAGGCCCCTGCCAGGCGGGCCCGCCCGTCCGGACGCCCGCCAGCCCCGCTCGAGCTTCATCAGCAGCTGGGGGAAGTCGCCGACGTCGGGGGCCGGGAGCTCTGGCCACCCGGGGGAAACCGAGGCCCCCGACGGGAGGGTTTTCGCCATTGTCGGCCTCAGGGAGGCCTTTTACCGGGCCTGGGGACCGTCAACGGAAAGACTCGGGAGGATAAACCTGTCCCGGGGAAGAGGTCCAGACCTCTGGGGGACGACGTGATGAACAAAACCACGACGTCGGGGGCCTGGGGAAACAGCTTCAGGGGCGCCTCCTCCTCCTCCTTTTCCTCCCTCCTCTTCCTTCCTCCTTCCTCTTCCTGCTCCTCCTCCTCCTCCCTCCTCCTGCATTTTCCTCCCACCCCTCCTCCTCCTCCTCCTCCTCCTCCTCCTCCTCCTCCTCCTCGTCCGCCTCCTCGTCCTCGTTCTCCTCCTCCTCGTCCTCCTCCTCCTCCTCCTCCTCCTGCTCCTCCTCCTCCTGTTTCTCTTCCTCCTCAACTCCTCGGACGGTTCACTCCTCTGCTCCTCCTCCTCCTCCTCCTCCTCCTCCTCCTCCTCGTCCTCCTCCTCCTCCTTCTCCTCCTCCACGGTCATGCTCTCGGCGAGGCGCGGGTGTCCCTGGGGCCCTTGGTTTTCCCCTGGGGGGACATGTGCCATCCGCCCCAACGAGCGCAAACAACTGGCACCAAAGCATGAGCGCGCGCACTCGTTATCCCCCCTTGGGATACCTAGTGCGCAGGGCCTACTCAATTCGGAGTCGAAGCTGTATATGCCTTTGTTTGGTTTGCTCCCACCTTTCAAGACCTCCCGCCTCAGGATCAGGACGCATCACGGACGGCCAGACGATCCCGGACATCGCCCTCCATTCCCTCCCCTCCTTTGGCGAGGGCCATCATACGCCTTTGCCCCTCCTGTGGAGACCATCATTGGCGCCACTCCTCGGCAGCTACCATCATAGGAGCTGCCATGGACCCACTCCCATCAATACACCAATACATGAAGCCGTCATTGGCGCTGGAGGGGACCGAAGCTCTCCGTACGGTCCCCCGGTCAACGAAAACGGCCGTAGGGAGGGGTGCTAACGTACCTCCACAACTCAGACCTTCAGACCTTCAAAACCTTCAGCCGTGAAGCGCCAATGGCCACCATTCACTGTTTTCCTCCCTCCCTCCGTCCCTCCCTCCCTCCTTCCCTCCTCCTCCTTGCGGCCCTCCTCCTCCTCCTCCTCCTCCCTCTCTCGGGGTCTTGGACAATATTGTCGCAAGGATACGCCCCCCCTCCCCGGAACCGAGTACTTAGTTCAAACAACCCTCCCGGGCCAGTGGCCGAAGGGTCGAAGTCGGGCAAGGAAGGCTCGAGAAGGGGGGGGATAGTCTGGCCTTCGAACACGCTCCGCGACTGGCGTCACTCACTCACTCCTCCCTCCTTCCTCCCCCCTTGGTGTACGCCGAATTTGTCCAACTTTTGGCCCCTCTGTGTGATCCCCCTCTCCTCTAATCAGGGCGGCTCCCCTGGGCCTCGCTTCTGGACTGGCTGGAGGGGATCTTTTTGTCGCAGCCGCAAGCGAAGGCGCAGGCGGCGTCAAGGGTCGACCCGGGCTGCGGGGGCTGGAGGGAATACTTTTTTAGTCAGCGGCCGCGGGCGAGCGCGCCCTGCGGCGAGTCAGGTCGAAGCCGGCTACGCACAGACTAATTAGGCAGAGGAAGCGCGACAAAAATTAAAGCAGAGGCGACGCGCGAGGCAACAGCTACGCGCTGGCCGAGGCCTTACGCAGCGGCCCAACGGCAGGTGGAAGGCTGAAGGGACGGAGACTGAGGGGAAACTGGAGGGGATACTTTTTTGATTCGCGGCCCGCAAGGAAAAGTCCACAGGGCGGTGTGAACGAGGCTGGGGCACAGCGCACGGGATGGCAGATAATTCTGGAGGGGGAGGAAGAAAATAAACAAAAAACAAAAAAACAAAAGGCGGAAGCGCCAGCGGCGGGAGGTCGCGGGCGGGCCGCGGCCGCGACTAAATTACCTAACGCGCGCGGGGCCGCGGATCAGGCGGCTCACGACAGCGTCCAGGGCGGCGGAGCCGATGCAATCCAGGAACCAGAGACAGCCCCTGAACGGGCATGCAGCGGTGCGTCCAACGGGCCTGAGGTAGGCACCGAGGAGACCAAGCGCAGCCAAAATGGCGCGAGAGGCGTTCCCAAAGTCCAGATGCGACCGAGCGGAACGTTCCCGAGGACGTAGATCCAAAGCCTGACGGGTAGCACAGACCGACTGGAGACGTAAGTCCAGCGGGATCCCGACGGCGGCAACGAGCCGCGACGCCAGAACGACATCCAAAGTGTGGAGCATGTTGCCAAGAAACTTCCACACCGAGATGCTTCAGCCCAGACCCAGCGGGTGGAAGGGCGCCAAGTGCACGCTGCACTGGAGGGGATACGCGAAGCGTCAAGAATCTGGCCTTCGAACACGCTTCGCGAATGGCGTCGCTCACTCACTCCTCTTTCTCTCAGTACTCGGCTCAGGGGGGGGGGTCCTATCCTTGTGACACTCTTGTCCAAGATCCCGAGACAGGGAGAAGGAGGACCGGGAGGAGGAGGGAGGGTGGGAGGAAGGGAGGGAGGTTGGGAGGATGGGAGGGAGGAAAAGGAGGAGGGGACGTCTGCCAGAGAAACGCGAAACGACACAGGACATGGACATCAACTTGCGGAGGTCCGCGAGATCTCCTTGGCTCGGCGCTGGGCTCCCCTGGCGCGCCTCCGGCGCCAAGGAGGGGTGGGTGGGGGTCTCCCCGGGCCGATCCAAAGAATCCGCGCAGACCTCCAAACGTTATGATTAGGACGTTTCGGTGTCCCTCCCATTCTGACGACTCCTCGCAATCTCGCCCTCCTCCCTCATCCACGGCGCAGGCTCCTGCACCGCGGCAACCCGTAATCAGCCAGCCTTACTCCTCCTCCTCCTCCTCCTCCTCCTCCTCCTCCTCCTCCTGCACCCTCCGCCCCATCCATCATCCTCCTTTTGAACCCTCCTCCTCCCTTTCCTCATCCTCCTCCTCCGCCTCATCCTCCTCCTCTCTCCTCCAATCCCCCCCTCCTCTCTCTTCCCTCCACCTTGCAGGTCGGGTCTGTGCAACGAACTAGAATTGGGCTCACCCCCCAAGTCCCGAGCAAGGCCGACCAGCAACGGCGGCTGAGCTGAAAGGGTCTTTTCTTTACTCGGTGTCGTCAGGCACTCTTGCACCCGCAACTGTTTCCTTCAGCGACCGAGGACAACGATGGCGAAAAAGCGTTGGCGCTTAGAACGAAACACGAAACGCAGCCGAGCGTTAAAAACGAACGCTCAGAACGAAACCGGTGCCAAACGAACACGAGACCGAAACGAACCACAACGGAACAACAGCGAACGACCGAAGGAAAACAACAGCAAATTCGAACAGCGCTGTGCTCGGTCCCCGGTTTCCTTTCGCTGCTCCTCCTGCTCCTCTCATGTCCCAGCTCCCTCCCCCCCTCTCCTCCTCGCCCCTTCCGCGGGCAGAGGTCTCTGCCGCCCCTCCCTCGCTCCCTCCGCCTCTCCTGGAGGCTTTGCGTCGCCACGGCCAGGTCCCCCCTCGAATGTCTGGCCAGCATTAGGTCGTGCACGTCCTCCTGCAGGCGGATCTTGCAAGACACACGGAACAGAGTCGACAAACACCAAAACCCAATCCGTCAAAACAGCACGGCCGATCGTCACCAGACCATGTTCCAAGTCTTGAAGATTCCTCCTGCAGTGGGAGCTGCCAGCCTTAAGGCCAGCACCCTCCCCAGCGGTCTGTCGAATAGCCAGGCGAGGGGGTCCGGGCCTCCAGGGCCCCCCTGTAGCTGACTCCTGCTCGCCCGACCACCAGGACGTCTCGGCAGGGCGGGGACGGGCGTTTCGCCTGTGCCTTCGCCTCCCTGCTGATGACTCCGAAGCTACACGGATGGAGATGGATGTGGGGTCGTTTTCAAAACTTGGCTCTTGCCTTAGCGCCGCGCAGGTTCGTTTTAAAAGCTGCCAGCTGTTACAAGCACACACACACACACACGTGCAAACAGAAGCCAGGCAGCTGTTTCAGAAAGCCTGCAACAGCTACACGGATGAACTTCGGATGTTTTTCGCATCGGGGCACTCGCTCGAGATTTCCCCAGATGACCAGGCACTTGAGATTGGAGGGGAATGCTCGGATTGGGATCGTGTTTTTTGTTTAAAAGAGGGCTCGCGCTGGACTCTTCCTTGGACGACATTAACAGACCTCGTCGCCGCCCGACAGATCGAAGCGTGCGGGCAGCTCCGCTTTCGCCTGAAAACTGCACGACGCAATCTTGCGCTCGTCTTCCAACGGAACACTTCTCCCGGAACTATCGAAAGACAATTCAGACCTGTCGGGACTCATATACGGAGAGGGGACCTGGCACGGGGGGCCGCACTGCAGCGTCGTCGATTCGTGTAGGCTTACTCTGGTTCTCCTCTTCCTCATTGGCGGCGCGCAGTGGGGGTATGGGGGAGGGGGGAAGGCTTCTTAGAAGCAGGCTGCTTCTTAGAAGGCGCCAGCCTTACATCTGCAGAAAAGGCCCGCGCCTTCTAAGAAGCAGAGGTGTTTCGAAGAAGCCTTCCCCCCTCCCCCTACCCCCTCTGCGCGTTGCCGACCTCCTCTCTGTGAGATCGATCCCCAGACCTGCTGCGGGATGTGGCAACAAAATCGCAGGGTATCCAGCCGTGGCGGCGAAAAGCCCAGGCACTTCCAGAAGCCTCGGCCTGGAAACATCGATCCTCCCTCGCCTCCTCCTCCTCCTCCTCCTCCACCTCCTCCTCATGCTGGTCCCTAGTTCTCCCCTCGTCCGCGCGAGACGTCCCGGCCCCCAGGATGGGGTCGATGATGGGCCTGCACCTCTTGGCGATGGGCACCGCCTCCGTGGCAGGTGGCCCGAACTCCCACAGGCCAGGAGGGGGAGTAGGAGGAGAATGAGGAGTAGGAGGAGGCGGAGGAGGAGGAGCAAGAGGAGGAGGAGGAGGATGAGAGAAAGGAGGAGGAGGAAGAGAAGGATGAGGAGGAGGAGGAGGAGGAGGAGGAGGAGAAGGAAGAGGAGAAGGAGGAGGAGGAGGACGAGGAGGGGGAGGTAGGGAGGATAGAGGATGAGGAGGGGGGGAGGAGGGAGGAGGAGGAGGAGGAGGAGGAGGGAGGAGGGAGGAGGAGGAGGAGGGGAGGAGAGGAGGGAGGAGGAGGTAGGAGGAGGAAGGAGGAGGAGGAGGAGGAGGAGGGAGGAGGAGGAGGAGGAGGAGGAGGAGGAGGAGGAGGAGGAGGAGGGGGAGGGGAGGGTAGAGAGGGAGGAGGGGATGGGGAGGGGGAGCGAGGAGGAGGAGGAGGAGGAGGAGGAGGAGAAGAAGGAGGAGGTGGAGGAGGAGGAGGAGGAGGAGAAGGAGGAGGAGGAGGAGGGGAGGAGGAGGAGGGGAGGAAGAGGAAGAGGGGGGGGAAGGGGGCGGGAGGAGGAGAGAAACAGAGAGGAGGAGGAGAGGAGGAGGAGGAGGAGGAGGAGAAACAAGAGGAGGATGAGGAGGAGGAGGAGGAGGAGGAGGAGGATGGGGAAGGAGGAGGAGGAGGAGGAGGAGGAGGAAGAGAAGGAGGAGGAGGCGCCCCCCCCCCAGCAGGATCGTGTAGCGGGGCAGGCGGACCGACCGGCCTCAGCCAGAGGAGCTACGCTCCTGCCCCTCCCTGGTGAACCCCATGGTCGCACCGACGATCCGTCGCGGGGGGCGGTCGAAACCATCCGGGAGGAGCGCAGCTCCTCTAGTGAACCTCAGATTCAGAAGTAGAAGAAGAAAACTATAAGGATTGTAAGCGTAAGAATAATAATAAACTAATATTAGCAATAACAGTAACGATACTACGAACGATACTGATAATGATAATAAGGATAATGATAATAGTAATAATAAGAAGAATAATAAGAAGAAGAATAATAATAATAATGACAATAATAATGATAATAATAATAATGATAATGATAATAATGATAAGAACAATCATAATGATGATACTAATAATAACAACAATAATGATACAAATCATGATCATGCCAGAAACACAAACTTGTGGCGCTCTGCGCGGACTTCTTGGATCTGCGCTGGAGCCACCTCGCTGGCGCGCGGAGCGCGCCAGGGGCGGCGCCAGAGGCGCCCCCAGGGGGCCCCAGCGCGGAGCCAAGAAATCAGCGCGGAGCGCCACAAGCTCCTCCTCCTCCTGTTCCTCCTCCGCCCCCCCCCTCTCCTCTCCTCCCTCCCTCCTCCTCCTCCTCCTCCTCCTCCTCCTCCTCCTCCTCCTCCTCCTCCCGTTCCCCTTCCAAAAATCCCCCCCATGGCATCTCCAGGGGTGCGTTCTGGCCAGCGGTTCGATGGAAACCCAGCTGTGGCGGAGTGGTCGGCCGAAGAGGCAAAGCAGCCTCGATACTCTACGTAACCTTAGGTCGGGCATGTCCTCCTACAGGCGGATTGTGGAAGAAATTGCAAAAAAACAAAAAAAACATAATCAAAAATACTCAAGCACAGGAGAACAGTGGTCCCTTTGACTATGTTTGGGACCTATTTTGAGTACTCCTCCTGTATAGGGACAGGCCCGACTTCGACGTGACCTCGACCCTCCCCTGGTCGTCCTGGAGCAGGGACCGACCGTCCCGGCATTCTTATAGTCATACCACGACTTGTTCTTAGAACACATAAATGTTCTAAGAACAAGAACAATGTTCTTAGAACATGAACCCGATGTGTTAAACCAAGGCAGTCTCAACCAGAAATGTTCTAAGATCATTTCCTGGGAACCACAAAAGGTTCTTAGAACATTGTTTGGTGGGGCTATAGGCGAGCCAAGACGCTTCGCCACTGCTTGACGTCCGCTTCTGGGGCCCGCCGCCGCCTCCCGGGCACTGAGGCCCGCGAAGTGCATCAGGCAGATCACCCCGGTCGTGCCGGCCCGGTGCGCGCCCGCCAGGCAGTGCACCGCGACGATGGGGGTGCGGTATAGACGGAAGGAGGAGTGGAGGGGCGGGGCCACCCTCCTCCTCCTCCTCCTCCTCCTCCTCCTCCTCCTCGTCCTCGTCCTCGTCCTCGTCCTCGTCCTCCTCCTCGTCCTCCTCCTCGTCCTCATCCTCGTCCTCCTCCTGCTCCTCCTCCTCCTCCCCCTCCCCCTCCTCCTCCTCCTCCTCCTCCTCCTTCTCCTCCTCCTCCTCCTCCTCCTCCTGCGGTTCCCTGCCGATGCCCTCGACCACCTGGCCACCATTCCTCATGGCACTAGGTATGCCCTCGAGCTCCTCCAACACGTATACCCTTTGTCTGGTCGCCTGTTTGCCCGAGACCGCGACGTCTGAGAGACCCATTGCTGAATGCCCTGCCCTGTACCGCATGTAAACCCACATCCGAAAGGACAACATCCAAGAGTGAACCGGCTCCCACGTCGCCTGTTGGGACGAGGCTGTGCGAAACGCGTCGGCCCTGAGAGCCGTCATGCTCCGGGAGGTTGTTCACGAAGTGTGCTCGTGAGGATGGTTTTTGTATCGGCGTCGGGGCATTGGGATAAGGAGAAGTATTTCGATACCATCGACCCAAGAAAGTTCATGCACTTTGCTCAGGCTATCGACTACACCTGCCTGCTCCTCTACCTGGGCCTCCTCATCCCCAGACTCCTCGAGGTCCAGTCCCTGATGTTGATGGGCATGTTTTCCACCACCACCACCACCAGAAGTTGGAGGGGGAGGGGGTCCTCCTCCTCCTCCTCCTTCTCATCCTCCTCCTCCTCCTCCTCCTCCTCCTCCTCCCCCTCCAACTTATGGTGGTGATGGTGGAAAACAGGCACATCAGGTGGTGTCGGGGGTGAGGCAGGCAGACCAATATGTCCTAACTGGGTGCTCCCAATCTCTGCCTTGGACTACCTGCTATCTATATGACATCTGGGAGGCGGCCCACTACTGCGTCCCGAGGGGTCCAATCCGAGAGGTACAATAATAAACGTGTTCTTGTTCGGCGTTTAAACATTGGGAAGAAGAGGGGGAGGGGGGGTTCTGGCTCTGGACCTCTGCTTAGCGCGACTGTTTGCAACATGATATCCAGTGGGGGAAACTCCACCTGCTTGAAATGGGCGCCAAAAACAGCGAGGAACTACTCCATGCGGGGGGAGGGAGGAGGGTGCGAGGGCCCGAACCGATCGGCAAAACAACGAACAAGAAAACTACCACATACCAGCATGTGTGGATGATCCCGCTCAGCGCGTTCAAGGTGCAGTGCAAGATATGTGGTCCGAGCTGATGGCAACTGCTCGTGAGAGTGAAACTCGCTGAAGCGTCGTGGCTGGACACTTTAGTGGAACCCGTGTGGTGCCGCTTCGTCTACGAACATGGTCGCCCTGGTCAAGCCCTGTGTGATGAGTTGCACGTCCCGCTACCATGGGCCCATTGTCCACCACCACCACCACTACCATAGGTAGGAAAGGGAGGAGGAAGAGGAAGAGTTGGAGGAGGAGGCCCTCTTGATCCTCCTTTCTCCCTCGTCCTACATATGGTAGTGGTGGTGGCAAACTTGCCCATCACGCTACGTTGACACTGTCAAGGATCTGGGAGTCGGGGCTATGGCGGGGAGGAGGAGGACGATGTGGAACATAGGTTAACGGAAGGAGGAATCCACGCGTCGGTCACAGAAATTCACGGTCTTCGCCCATGCTAACCCTCGTGCGCGCAAGCTCTTGACATCAAAAGACGGTGCAAAAAGCATGTCCTTGGCACGCACCCGCACACATGCGTCGGTTGCGAGCTCAAGCTGCTAAAACCTCGGGCCGGTAATATGGTGGTTGCTGCACGACTGAACCTTCTGGCTCCTGCACACGCTATGTCAGATGATCAGGCATGAAAGATACGCTGTAAACACCTATGGGAATGGAACCGTACACTTAAATCCCTCGACCCCGTCAGATTAGCCGTGTGAAGAGGATATGGCCCCAAGTGGTTGAGAATCTTCGAAGGATTCCCAATGTCCATCGGTGGCATCATGTTCGAGCTCCTACGCGTCGGTCATCATGCGCGTCTTGGAGCTCAATGGGAGCCCATTGGAACCCTAGCTTGGGAAGTTACCTGATCCGACCCTCCGAGTTGAGCGGCGTGATGTCCTTTCTTTCTTTCTGTGGAAGGGAGTCTCTGAACAAGCGGCCAAGATGTGATGGGCTCAAGCCTCGAAAGCTTACGGGGGGCAGAGTCTGCATGAAGGTGTTGACTGTGCGGTGTTGAGGAAGCTGCGAGGGACGTTCTCCAGGCAGGTCGACTGCAGCGGAGTGGTCGTTTTGAACCACCTCTCGCGCGGACTTCCACCGAGCGGATTTCTTTGGTCCGCAATGGAACCCCTTCTCGCCAAGGCCGGCGTCAGAGGCGCCGCCAGGGGGGCCGGCGAGGATCCGAGAAATCCACGCGGAGCTCCGAATACATATATATATATATATGTGTGTACACACATATATATAGATTCATAGATGTCACCAACAATTCTAGACTGTGCATGTGCAATATTTCATACTCGCGAGCAGGCAGAAGCTAGTTCGCACGTCGCCGCGCACTGTATACGTGGTGGCCTCGCTGCCATCCTCGGATGGCCACCTCTGAATCCGTTCATTTATGTAGCCGTCCATATGAGCATCGAAGCGCCTGTGGAGTTGCCCATAGTTCGGCCCTGTTGTTGGTTTGCCGTTTCCCTGGGAGTGGTCCGTACTGCGCTGCCTCTGTATGCCATTATTATCCATGTCGCTGCAGCTTGGACCATCCCCATCCGCATCTTCGATATCGTGGATCGTGTGATTGCTCTCCTCCGCTGCCGTTGGTGCAAATCACAGTGCCCTGGAGCAGAAGGAAGGAAACCATACACACACCCGCCCCAAGTCCTGCAGGCAGAGGAAGAGGGAAGAGGACGAGGGGGAGGACGATGGGAGGAAGGGCGAGAGGATGACGACGAGAGGAGGGGGGAGGAAGAGAAGAGGACGAGAGGACGAGGGACCCTGAGATCCGACGTCGCGAAATACTTGCAGCATCGCAAGACAAAAACGGCCAGAACCCCAGACCCGATGTTCCTGCTGCTTTTTCCGAGCCGAAGCGATCTGCAACGACCCTGGGGCCCGAAGCCAGGCGAGTTCGCCCAGCGTGAAAAACTGCAGCGCCCAGATCTCAGAGGAGGTGTAGGAGGAGGAGGAGGAGGAGGAGGAGGAGGAGGAGGAGGAGGAGGAAGGGGAAGAGGGAGGAGGAGGGGGATGGAGGAAGGCGAGGATAGAGGAGGATGGAGGAGAAGGAGGAGGAGGAGGAGTAGGAGTAGGAGTCAAGCTAGCCAGCTCGAGCGAGTCAAGCATGGCATGCCCAGTCCCACCCGCCCTCCCACAACATAAGAAGCAAAGCTGGCACAACTGGGGGCCGAAGTCACACCGGCCAGCCGGTTTGGTACAGCTGATGCGGCCGCGATGGCGGTTGCCGACGGGAACTGGCGAGCGCGTGTTGAATGCCGCGCACGCATTGCCAGACGAGTCGAGAATGGCCCGGTACACCGCAGGAAGCCAGAGGTGGCCGGAGGAAACCCGACGGTCTGACAGGACACCCCAAGGGGGCCCAGGAGGCCCCAAGAGGCAGGAGTAGTAGTACCAGTGGTGGTGGTGTTGGTAGTGGTAGTGGTAGTAGTAGTAGTAACAGAAAAAGTAATGCTATGACAAGTACTTGCAGTACAACTAATACTAGTAGTATTAGTACAACACTAGTAGAAGCGTATGGTTTTGATGTTTTTATGTCGAAATGCTTGCAAACACAGAGAGGCCTCACGAGAAGGCCCCAGGAGGCCCCAAGGGACCCCATGCGCCCATACGATTCATGGGATTGCATTAGGAGGCGTCCAGAAGGCCCCAACTTGTATTGTTTTTTTTATAACGGGGGGGTTTGGATGGGCGGGCGCGGGGTGTGCGCCGCATCCCATTCCTGCCAAGCATTTTGCGACGTGGACGACAGGACGTCCATGCTGAGAGGAAAAACGTTGGTGCGCGGCGCCGAGGCGAGAGCGACATGTCACCCCTTCGCGCGGGGTGTGCGCCGCGTCCCATTCCTGCCACGCATTTTGCGACGTGACGACAGCACGACCATGTTGACAAGAAAAACAAAAACTGTGTATTGTCTTTTGCAATTAGAATGGGACGGATTGGATGGGCGGGCGCGGGGTGTGCGCCGCGTCCCATTCCTGCCATGCATTTTGCGACGTGGACGACAGGACGTCCATGCGACGGTGCCAATGACGGCGACGACTCTAGAAGGATTTGAGCATGCGCTCGCGGCGACGCGCGCGCATGTCGCCCGCGTGGTATTTTTTGCACAGGATTCGCGGCCTGGGTGCATGACAGAGCATCGCGAGTGCACCGCGCGATGACGTGAAATCGCTGGATTTGACCAAATTCTTAAGATTCCTATGGTTTTCCTTTGATTTCAGCAAGAGAGCCCGGGCGGGAAATTTGTACAATTTTTGTGAAAAAACATTGGGTTTTTGATGTTTTTATGTTGAAATGCTTGCAAACACACGGTGTTCGGTAGGATTATGACATGAACGCGCGCGTGTGCTCTTTGTGGTATTTGTTGCAATGGATTATCGCCGTGGACGACAGGTCGTCCATGTCGAGAGGAAAAAATAAGAAACATGTTGATTTTGTATTGTTTTTTACAGGTTAGGATGGGACCACCCGGATGGGGCCCCTATCTGCCGGCCTGAGGGGGGAGTAGGAGTATATTCTAATAAGGAATAAGGATAGGAGGAGGAGGAGGAGGAGGAGGGGGAGGAGGAGGAGGAGGAGGGAGGAGGAGGAGGAGCAGGAGGAAGAGGAGGAGGGAGGGAGGGAGGGAGGGGGAGGGAGGGAGGGAGGAGGAGGAGGAGGAGGGAGGAGGGGGAGGAGGGAGGAGGAGGGAGGAGGAGGAGGAGGAGGAAGAGGAGGAAGAGGAGGAGGAGGAGGAGGAGGAGGAGGAGGAGGAAGAGGAGGAGGAGGAGAAGCAGAGAGGAGGAGTAGCACGAGGGCGGGCAGACCCACGGCGGAGGGGCAAGGCAGGGAGGGAGCCATGACGTTCTGGCCGCGCGCGAGCGCCGCCCCAACGAAGCTCAGCATGGGCTCCACGAAGGCGACGGCCTCCGCGTCCGAGTGCGCCCTCCTTAAGAGGGCCGCCGCCGTCGCCGCCGTCGTCGTCGTCGTCGTCGTCGCCGCCGCGGTCATCGTCGTCGACGTGGTCGTCGTCGTGGACCTTGACGATGTAATTTCGAGAATTTGGGGCGTGAAGGCTCGAGGCTCTGAGGCTTCCGGAGTCCCCTGGCCTTAGTGTGCCTCGGGGCCCGTGGCGGAATGAGAGCCCCAGAGGGGCTGCGGGACTGCGCTGTGACACCGCTATCCCTTTGGAGGGGGGCGGCGGAGACCCCACAGGTGTCCCCCGACGTCCCCGCATCCGTAGGCCAACGTGCAGCGGAAAACTTCTCACAGATCTCGGCCTCCGGGGGCAGTCAGGGGGCCCCGGGGCCGTCCAGATACGATTGGCTGACGCAAAAGAGCGTCCAGCTGAAAGGGGATGGTGCAGTGGGCTTGGGGCAACTGCACTGCGAGTGTACTGCGCCGGAGACTTTTATCGCATCGTGCAGCAGCTGACACGCCACGAATCGATTGCAACCCCACATATCTACAGTCAACGACCCTAATAAGGACGCGCGGTAAGGACGCAAGACCCTTGGAAGCCGAAGTTGGGATTTTTGGGGCGGCAAACGACGAAAACCCCAAGGACGCAAGAGCAAGGCAGAGCAAGGACGCAAGGGTAATTACCCTGAGCAAAGTCGCGCGTCCTCATGAGGGTCTTCGACTGTATCTATTGCACCGAATGAACTGATACTCCCCCTCGTGGCTGGACCCCCCTCTTGGGCCCACCAGCACGGCTCGGGCCGCAGGCCCGGTGGTGCCCGGGAAGGGGCCCAGACCCTCTGCGGGGGGCCCGCTCTGTGAGACGGGGGCAGGGCGCCGGCTGTCCCCGAGTGGGCTTCGGCGGGCTTGCGCGCGCGGCGCCCGTGGCCTCGTCCTCCTCCTCCTCCTCCTCCTCCTCCTCCTCCTCCTCCTCCTCCTCCTCCTCCTCGTCCTCCTCCTCCTCGACGGTGTCCTCGTCCTTCTCTCCTTAACTTCGTTCCTGCCCTTCCTCCGCATTGCGCTGGGGGCCCGATCACGAGGAGCCTCCCACAGGAGACCCAGACCCTGAGAACCCAGGACGTCCATGGATGTTCGGTGCGGGCACGTCACGCTTTCCATGGCAAAACCATCGAAACCCAAGAACCCAGGGCACCCTGGAGGCGAGGAGGGTGTTTCTTCGCATGTGTCTCCACTGTATCCTCATCCTTCTCCCGCTCGTTCTTCTTCCTGCCCTTCCTCCGCATTGCTCCTCCGCCCCCCCCTTTCTGCGGTCACGGACCCTTCCCAAGCAATATTGCTGGAAATGCGAATCGGCGCTAATCGAGGCTAGCCGACGCTAAATCCACGCGAATCGACGCCAACCGACGCTAAATCACCGCTATCGTATCGATTACAAGCGCCTAATCGGTGCTAGTGTACTCTCAAGACGGAATTACGGAGGTATACAAGGCTCCCATGATTTGCTACCGAACCCCCTCCTTTTGAACAAAAACACCTCAACAATACAATCGACTGCCGCCTCTTCTATCGCAATCCTGCCATGGCTGCAGATGTCGAACCGGAAATACTTGATGGGCCCGTCTGGCCGATCGTGGTACAGCGGCATCGAGTCCGTGCAGTTCACCACGTGCGTGATGTGAAAATTCGATGGTAGAGAATGGAAAGACTGCATATACATGAACTGTCGGAGCTCCGCGCAGATTTCTTGCCTCTGCGATGGACCCCCTCCCTGGCGCGCTCCGCGGCGCCACAGTCGCAGCCAAGGTCCTAGCGCGGATCCAAGACATCCTCTTAGAGCTTTCAAAGTTTATGGTTATGCAGGCTTTTCTTCTTCGAGATAAGACCTTCAACTGCGAAGCCGCTGTCTGGTTCCCAACGAAGAAGGTCCCGCCCGACTGCGGGTGTCTCCAGAGCGGGTCGAGCGCATTATACTGGCCACCGCTGACCTTTGATCATTCCCAAATACGCTGACTTGAAGGGACCTTGCTCGTTTGTGAAAGAAGCCGAATGGGTGCGGGTTGCCCAGGGTTGCCCGATGCAGCGCAATGCCGATCAATGCCAAGCAACGCCAAGCAACAGCGAGAAACGCCTAGCAATGACAGGCAGCGCCAAGCAAGCCAGAGCAACGCCAAGCAACGCAAAGCAATCCCAAGAATTGCCAAGCACTGCCGAGCCATGCCAAGCAATGCCAACCATGCCAAGCAATGCCGAACAGTACCGAGCAATGCTTCGCCTTGTTTTGTTTTTTGGCATTGCTCAGAACCGCCCTGCACTGCTGTGGAAGAAATGAGTTCCTCGCAATCGCGCCATGCTTGTATTCTGGTTCCCCGCCTGTCAAAAGTGAATTTCTAGAATTCAAACGAGAAAGCCCCCCGCCGACCACCGGCTGTTCCTGCAAATGCACCACGGCGGCCAGACCCTATCCAAGGCCCCAGAACAGATCACGCATGCCACGTCTCACTTCCCCCCGGGCTCGCCGCCAAAACATAACAGATGACATACACACATGAATGACACAACAAACAAGCATGAGGCATGCGTACAACACATTAATAGTACACATACAACAGACTACGTCTTGGTCATCAGGAACATTCAGCCGAAGCCCGCAAGCGAGCAGCTATATATATGTATCTATGTATATATATACACGGAAAAAGAAGACGACGTGCGCGCGTAGCAGCTATGAAGAGTAAGCACCGCCATTAGCGTAGACTGAGCACAAGTGGACACACATGCACACACATCATGAATACTACACATACGTGGGAACGATTACCTGACGTCGGTGACGTATGCTAACACAGAGCAGACATACACACTGTACACATCCAAAATACACTGAAGCACACTCACATACCTACAAACATAAACCATCAACAAGCATGACGGTCAATGTTACGATAAGCGGGCAGTGCACGCATGTACCATGAACGAAGAACACATGCGCTAGCATTATATGTAGTGCACACATCAAACCACATGATGCAACAACAATAGCGCTTACACATGCACTATACAATAAAACTGCACGAGCCCAATTACCTCAATCAACAAACTCGCGAAGGCACGGGAAACACATACAATTCCACACGAAGAATGTACACGTATAGTGCGCACCATTACCATTACCATACGTACATACAGAATGCACATCTGCAGACCTGGCACCAATCCAACCCACACTTATAAATACTCGCAGCAACTCCCTTGCGAGGCTCGCTCGGAGCAACACAATTACTTACTACTGGCCGGGATATGTTCGCGCATGTATTGGTCAATGCTGACCTGGGAGGGGTCAAGGTTGAGCCTCGCCCACAGCTTCCTCGCCTCGTCGTCGAAGTCGAGACCCCTGCCACCTTGGCACGAAAGAAATGAATTATGAGAGAATCAAATCCTGGATGCTGCATGCTTCTGGACGAATGCATTTCATCACGAATATTTGTATACCGGCCCCATGTTCCAGAAGGGCCCCGAACGGCTAAAAACGGAAGACATTGTCAGGCCCACTTGTTGCTTGCTGCCACCTTCTCCTAAATAACACCGGTGTGCACATATATATATATATATGTATATAAAAATCTATATGCGTATATATGTATATATGTATAGGAATATGTACATATATATAGAGAGAGAGGTGGGGGCGACAGGCCACTCATAAAGCGAAGCCGAAGCACTTTTCTTCGGAGAGAGGCCAGTTGAGAAATCGATGGCCCTCCCGAGCGAGGGGGGGAAGACAAAAAGAGGATGAGCTTAGATGAGAACGCCCTGCTCATCCCCGAAGTATGAAGGACAATTCGTTGTAAACCTACCCGAGGAAAACATCTGGCAGAGCCGTCTGGTAGAACCGCACGAGTCTTCCGGGTAAGCGCTAACCTCTTCCGGCAATTAACGAAAACCTTCTGGCTTATCGCTCGCAGTAAAGAATAAAAATGATTCGCGGGGGCGGATTTAGCAGAGCGAGATCGTTAGCACCCGGCCAACATGTAAAAGCAAATTATTATAATCTGCCCCCCCGCGACCGAAATCTTTAACTAGTTCGGATTTACGGTGGAAACGCAAGAGCCTTGAACGCCGAAGACGGCAACCTGCCAACACCCTGGGGGTTGGCCAGTGAAAACATCCTTCCCTCCTTCCTCCTTTTCTCTTGCTCCTCGCCGTCACTTTCCTATGCGGTTCCTGTTCCTATTGCAACCCCAACGGGAATTTGATTTGGATCGGCCGTCCTAGAGGTTGACTGGTCCACCCCCGGAACCGCACGCGCACCACACAAAGCACACTGTAGAACCGGGGAGCGCCGACAATAATTTATTCCCGCGTCCGACTAAGCGGTAGAGAGGAGACGAAATAGTAGTAGTAATGGGAGGAAGAGTTGGAGTAGTAGTCGTAGTCGTAGTCGCAGTCGTAGTCGCAGCAATTGTTATATATTATAGAAGTAGTAGTAGTAGTTGTTGTAGTAGTTGTTGTAGTTGTTGTAGTAGTTGTAGTAGTCGCGGTAGTAGTAGTAGAAGTAGTAGTAGTTGTAGTAGTAGTAGTAGTAGTAGCCGCCGTAGTAGTGGCAGTAATAGAAATAGAAGTCGTAAGAGTAGTAGTGGTAGCAGTAGAAGTCGCAAAAGTAGTGGCAGCAGTCGCAGCAGTAGTAGTAGCAGTAGTTCAAGAAAGAGTAGTACTAATGAAAA